ATTATACCATCAAAATTATATAACGCGAGACATATCTCTGTGTCAATAGTTTTTTTTCCTAAAACCAACGCTCCCTAAGTCGATTTTAAAATATACATTTCAATTGTCCCTCTGTTTGCTGAATGTCATTAAGTTTAAATAGATATTAACTGATTTCTGACTGATTTCTGCTCACAAATACAGGGTGTTTAAAAACTTTTGACTTTTGCAATTTTCATTTATTGAGAGTCGAACCATCTCCTTCAGTCTATAAATGTAACGATATCAAGCACATCAACAAAACCTGTCGGCTATCAATTGGTTGAAATTTAATTCAATGAGGGAAAATAGTTGTTTACATTTGATGCAATGGATTTTTTCTTTTGCTTTTGCTTTTCCATTTTTCATATTTTGTGTCATTATTGATATTTTTGCAATAAACACGGATTTTTAATTGTTTATTTGTTCATTAATGGCTATGTCGCGTATTTAGGAAAAATGTTATATCCCATTTGTCAATTTTTCATTTTAGTTGTGGTAATTACATTTGTTTAAGACATATGTTTACGCATACATAATCACTTTTTGTTCATAAACCTTCGATGAGCCCTGATCCCCGGAGGTCGAATAAAGTATCTTTTTTACAAACTAATTTAACGTTTATTCCTTGTGTCTCTTTTTAAAACCTTTTCCAAACATTTCTTTTATTATATTGGACAATTTCATCTGTTTTGATACATATCTCCAAAAATGCATATTCACAAGTAAACATGAAACAGTTTATAAATTTTGTCCGTCCGAAGAGCTTTTCTGAATTTATACCTTCATCGGGAACGCTTGTTGTTTTCAATTTTTAATGTTACTTAGCTTTACATTCTTTCCCTTTGTAGCGTGAAAATAGGAAATATTATATATCATTATGTTTAGCCTATCTTAACATATCACCATATGACCCTCAACAATAAGCAAAACCAACACCAGCTATATAAGGCCCAAGCATTAAAAAATGTGGAACAATTCAAACGAGAAAAACGAAATAAACAATTTATTTTTTTAATATAAATAAGAAGATGTGGTATGAGTGTCAATGAGACAACTCTCCATCCAAGTCACAAAGTGTATTAATGTTATATGTATATTGCATGTTTATAATAATTTTGAAATCAAAATTAAACCGGAAGTACTTTCAGTTGAATTAAAACCGATGTAATTTGATAATAAATGATTTTTTGGATATACTACATACACGTTGTAAAACTTAATGTACGTGTTTGTTATTAAATTCTTTCTGAGGACCAGAAATTGTTTTCGTCGTACTGTTATTCAGAACAGGAACAATTTATACATATGACATATCATTTATATATTTTCAGTTGATTTAACTATTCGTTCACGTTTAGTTTCATTGAAAAACTTAAAATGTACTTTAACATCTGAATCATACTATTCATTGATATGGATAAACAAATGAACGTTTATGATTTCAAATGAGTTTTTATGTGCCATTCACATTTATACATTAAGTCAAATACCAACCTTCAGTTCTAAGAGGGTCTTAACTTGAATAGAGACGTTTTACTCATTCGTCATATGTATCTGTAGCGTGTTTATATAATTTTGTGTTATTTTGGTTTCAAAATCTAAACGATGACAACATTTAAATTTTGGTAAACAAATTGTAATATTTATAACAGCAACATGCAGATTAACAAGATTATACCTACAAATGTAACGACATTATTTTCACAATTATTATATTTGATTTCCCTTTTCTTCGTGAATATATGCGTGGTAATCAGCTGTTTAATGTCCAGGGATTTTCCTGGTTTTAGTATTACTGCTTCTGTAAATACTTATGCATTATTGTATTTCCAATAGACTGATCATTTGTAACAAACAAAGATAAGTATATGGAAAGGTGGTCATTTTTTAATGTTACGTTACCACTAATTCAATATTGGAAATATGTTGAAATTTTCAGTAGGACAGCGAGCCATCAAACATTACATTATAGGAACATGTGGCCAAACTAGCATTGGTACAGTCTACACATGTATCAATATATTCCTCAGTTGATTGGTGGTATAATTGACTTGTTATATATGTTTAAAACTACAGTATTGTTATTTCAAACGTATAGAGTAAATTGAAGGGATTGGATTCTAATACCGAATGTGCAGCTATAGAAAATATGGGACCGAAACAGAAGAAAATAACCTGAAATTCAAACAGAGTGAGCTCATGTATATCGATAGGGTGACCACCACCTACATCATTCTGATAGTAACTGGACTGTGAATGCTTTCACTGTGTTTTACTCTTGTGACATATTGTCTAAATGGGTTAAAATGAACATGTTTGATAGGCTTAAACTTTGTTACGCCATACGAGCGTTTAGTCTACATAAGACTCATCAATGAGTTTTGAAGGAAACAGTTGGAAACCAAATCAAATACAAAGTTGAAGAGCATCAAAATCCAAAAGTTGTGCCATATACGTCTAAGGCAATCTGTGCCTGGGTGAGGACCCCTTATAGTTTCGAATAATTCAACATTTTATAAAAAGTCGATTTACAGAAAATGAACATATCAATGATATTTCAGGTCAACACAAAAGTGCTGACTGCTGACATTCTCGCGATCGAAACGTCCATCAGCAATGGCATCGACCCTGCGGTTGTAAAATCTCATTAAATATTAAAAAAAACATTTCCGTAGTGAGTTGAGATACTCAAGACATCGAAACGCGTCAACCAGTTCATAGAAGCGAGTGTAGATTTTGAGTACTGATTTCAGTCGTTCTTTATTATAATTCTGTTGGAGTAGTTTTTAGTACAACTCTATTTACAAAACCTATCTTAGAAAAAGGAACTTTTGTTATTGTATCTACCATACTACCATATTATATCGTGAGATATGTATTGCAGGTGGTAAAGCATTACTCATATATTGAAAATTAATTAACGATATAACCACCTATGTCATAACTTTTCGCTGTATGCCTTCATTACCAAACTATTAAATGAGGACATAATTATTGTATAACGTATTATAAAATTGATGTCAAGACCCCCATATCAAATGAGCGGTTAAATGGTTATCGACGAAACGAGCCATTCGTTGATCTACCCTATACAACAGCATCAAACAAAAGACCATTTTAAAGCGCGATAAAGAGGTTATTATTTTCAAACTTCGTTATTTAATACCTGCACGACTGTTCAAATAGTTGTGAACCATTCACTGTACATATATAATGTTATTTTTATGGTTTTAAACAGAGTAAAACCAGTTTGTGTTCATGTAAGAATACTCGTGATAGTGGCTATAAATCAAATGGTCTTGAGAAAGATCCTAGCTACTTTACATACTTTACGAATATTTTACTACTGTTTTAGGATATTCTTAATTGCCATATTTCTGTTTTAAAAATGTTGTCTATATCCCGAACTATTTAAATCTCAATGTTACCATTAATTGAATTAGAACTACACAATTGCATTTTAACTTTAAAAAGAGGCTTTAACTTAGAAAAGCGTGATCGCGCATAAACACAAATATCCCATAGACAAACCAATCTACTTTTTAGCTCATTAATACGTATCAATATAAGTTTTTGTCATATCAGGGCCATTCTTAGCTTGCTATGTGGCATTGGGTTTGCTCATTGCTGAAGGTCGTACGGTGAACTATTGTTGCTTATATCTACGTCATTAGGTCTCTGGTGAATAGCTGTCTCTTTGGCAATCATTCCAAATCTCCTTATTTTATATTAATAGATGTCATATATAAATTTTCTTGAAGACATCAATGAAGGCCTCGTAAATAGCAGGCTTTACAAAATTTATGAATTTATGACGAGTGGGAAAATTTGAGTATTTGGAAGCATCCCTTTCAGACCAATTAAAATGCAGGAATCAAAATACATGTACTATCGAATAATTTCTTTTACTCGAACCAGTTTTTATAAAAAGTTAGCCTTCTGCTCATCCTTGTAGTATATACCGATTTTGTTAGAATTAACTTTAACCCAAATTGCAATTTTTTTTTTACTTATTTTCAGATATGTATAATGAGTTACATTTCAAACTGTGCAACCGTGATTTGCTATCCAAACTGCACAATAGAAAATTTTCATTTGTATCGTCCATCAATTTAAATATTGACTATTACACTTTATTGACCTTTGTTTAAAGAGCACTACGAGGAAGATGTTGCACGCAGATTTCGATATACTCACCTTTCTGAAGCAGGTGATATCCAGTCTGCATGCGGTGTAAGATATGGACCACCTCATAATTTTCCTAGTCCTTTTTATAGAATAATCGTATTACTTTTGTTTAGTTTCGGTGTTTCTGTTTGTGTGTCAATCAAATGTACATTTGTTCTTTGCTTTACAGATTCTCTCTGGATATTTCTGGCCCTGTCGATCTGACCATCTTCTAGGTATAACGTAAAATAATCAAATACAATTTGATATAACTGTTTGAGAGACTTCTCACGATTACTGCACTATATATTGCAATATCTTATAAGTATTCTACTTTTTTTTTACAATTGCATGTAATAAATTCAAAACCTGTCAGATTTTTGTAGATTTTTGTAGGCCGTATGTTGACCTCCAAATGTCTTTCAGATTGTTTGTGTGATTGGTTGCTGTCTTATTGTTGCATATACACATCGACTTTGACAAATATGTATAGTGTTCTATTATCCTAGTCACTGATTATCTTAACATACAAAATTACGCTGTGTTTTGAGGGAGAAAAAAACATAAACAGACCGAAAAAGGTAGCATGCACAGGCCAAATAAAATTTTAAAAGACAAGGTAGACAATCTAAAAATATTTTCTGTGTGATTTTGTCATGATTGAGTCTTTTGAACTTAAAGGCACCTTTATGGAACATGCGAGATAAAACACTGTGATATGAACCATTTTAATTTTAAAATTTATGTAATTTAATTACGCACGCAACATTAAACAATAATGCATTGTACACCAACCCTTTAAACAGTTACTGCGTCAGTTGTTCCGTTATTTGTCAGCTTTACGCGGAGAACTTCATACAAATTATAAGGATATTTCATCACAGTTTTTTGAAAGTTTTCATGCATTTTTAGTTCTTATGTTCAAATATGGGAAATGGAGCAAGTGTGAATATTACTCCTGTGAAAGGAGCTGACAGACTGAATAGGGATAATTCTCTTGTCAAGTCTGTGCAAAATGGGCATGGTCCTCGGTCTAGATCTACAGTGAGTGCCAGAACCAATAGATCAGACCACAGTAAATCGTCGGGAGAAAATTATGTACCATCAAAAATCGTGAAAATGGTGAGTGAAATATGTGGAATCAATATAATTTTTATCTTCATGCTGATATTAACCTTTAGTATGTAAATGTATGATAAATTATGAAACTGTTGTTTGCGATGATACAGCCATACTCCACATTCAAATTTTTCTTATGTTGCTTAACAATTTTTAGGGAAATTTATTCGAATTCACATTTTCTCTCTCTCACTCTCACTCTCTATTTGTATGCATGAGTTATTATAAAGTTTAGAGATTAATCATTCTTTACACCTGTTTTTATATCTATAAAGTCCTACATAACATTTGGTTTTTATATCAGAGGTTGTATCTTAATCCTTGTGAAGGCTGCAATGTTTGCTTGCATATTGAGAGGTCGGACTAAGCTACTTTTACTATGCGGTATAATAAAATCGTTTTGTTCTCTATAATCTCCGTTTTCGTACCAAAATACTGTCATATAGAACAATTATTCAGGTACATTTTTCTAGTCGTTCTGGTTTGGCACTACATATTGTGACATTTAAACACCATGTGGTTTATTATATAGACACGATCAAAATAAAAATAAAAATTGATGATAAATAGATATTCAAGGTCATTAATGTTTAACACCAATAACTAAAAACAAAAGATTTTGATGAATTAAAAGATAAATAGTTCAAATGAGAGATAATTTATGACATGTTTTTACTTGAACATCTATTGGTGCCATTTTAAAACATAACGAAGAAATTAAACTTTATTCTTATATCTATATAAACAGCCACAAAACGACTTACAGAATAACCTAAAGATTGAGCTTCTTGACCCCATAGATAATAATTAGGGGGGACTCCTCATATCAGCTCAATGTTATAAAACTTCTACCTTTACGAGAACTTCACTAGTTTGTTTCAGAAAATAAAAAAAAAGATATTTTACATTTTGTTTAAATAATTTGAGACATAGTCTGAGCATAAATGTTCTTTTGTTATAAAAATATTGACCTTTTCCCCCTTCTGAGTCTGATGCTTTTTATTGCAAAAGCTTAATTGTGTTTATGCTAACCGTCAGTTTCATAATTAATATATTTTAGCAATATTATTCAACCGAATTGATGGGATACCTTAGAACCGATACAATTTCAGGACGCAATTTCTATATCTAGTTTAGTAAGAGCTTCTATACAGGTATAAGTAAACTATCGTTTTAGACTAGCAAACAACGTGTTTGTGTTGGGAAGCACGATCCTAAAACTTTTAAGAGATTTAGCAAATTGACTTAAAAGTTATCAATTAATCACATTTATATAAAAACTAATATATAAATATAAACTACTTTACATTATAATGCGAAATTTTGAATGTACTATATATTAAGCAACGAAAATCTCAGTGTAGTCGTTATCTGATTGCAATAAAGCAAGAACACAAACCCGTTGACACATTCCAGACAACGTCTATACATAATGTTTTCTTATTTAAAAAAGGACTTTTAAAAGTTCAACACGAAACTTTGAATTGATAGTTTGATAGCAAGTGTACTTAAAATTCACATGTGACAAAAATCCCCCCTAGAAGTCTTGTCGTATAGCGAATATAAAAATAATATAATAAAACAGTACAGTTTTGTATTTTCGATGATTTAACTATTAAATCATTATTATTCAAAGTTCAACAATGTGGGAAAGAAATATTATGGGTATTTTAACCATATCGTGATGAACGTGTGATTGAATTACAAAAGACTCACTTCCTTTTATGGTATTTGAACGTATTGACCTATTATTTAAAGGTCGAAATGAATCTGAGGGCTTTGACTAATTCATCATTTATGTTAAATCAAGACGAATGTATTGATTTATGAAGTTGTTCCCTGTCTAACACAACAGTCCCAGTCATCAATGTGGCAGATCAGTTCAGTTAACGCTATGTTTTATTATCTTTCCCGTAAAGAATATTTTGAAATCGTCTATGCCATATTTCTGGATCTTGATACTAACGTTTCTAAAAAAAGTCTTCATACCAGAATTAAAGACAAACTCTTGTTTTTTTTCCATTATGATGTTGCTACCCTATGTCAATAAGTCGTTCAATGTTGAACAATATATTTTGACTTCAAAATGTCATGTAATCATTCGAATTTATTTTGCTGGGACCTTAATTGAAAACAACTTTTTACCTATTTATCATTGATGAAATTCGCAAAATAGTAGGAGTCATTGCATGTTCCATGCACTTTTATGCCCCAACTATAATATGTTTGTATATATTGTACAGAAACTCATCATAGATACCAGTTTATCTCTGATTGTTTGTTTATTTGATAGCTGTCAAATCAATTTACCATTTAACAAAGCCATCATTGGTTTAATTTAAATGTACTAAATAACATATGGAAAATATGACCAACAATGCTGTTAATACAAATTAATATTGTTTAAAGGACAAATGAGTATTTCGGATCATCACGCCATATAAATACAATTCTCTGTCGCTTAGCACATTACGCATCAACTGGGGTATACACTAACCAACAAACGTATCGATACACACTTGCTAGAAAAGGGGAGGCGGAGTAAACCAAAGGGATATTCAGACTCATCAGCCGAAGACAAAGTGACAACGCAACGAGAAAAAAAACCCCACCCAAACGACGAAAAGATAACAACCGTCTACAAAACGCAACATATAAAACTGGAGACCGAGCAACATACACCCTACCAAAAACCGAGGGTGATCTCAGGTGATCCGGAACGGCAAACAGAGAAATAATCACATACATTCTTAATTAACATGAGCAATCTATACTGGTAACGGGTTCTTTCTGTTTACAACTCGCCTAAGCCTTTGTCGACCACGGACCTTCAAGACTACACCAATTTTTTAGTTCACATTATATTCGCTTGCGTTAATTTCTTATGAAGGTTAATATAAACCACTGCATTCCATAAACAAAACGCTAAAATATGCACGTTTATGTTAAAACTTACACTAGAATAACAGTACACCTAAACAGTTATTATCTCCTCCTTATGTTAGGGTAAAATTCAGACTCAAAACGTGTGCTTCATTCTCAATCTTTCATTCCTAAAATCACCCATCCTATTTTTCTGCGAACACCCTAAAAAAATGGTATAAAGTAATATAAGATAAAATAGATAAATAAATAAAAACATACACATGTCATGTATAAATAGATAGCAGTGGTAGTGGCTGCCAATATTATATATAAAAAAAAAACAGAAAATTAAATCGTTGAGGCCTCGAATATCAGTTACTTTATTTACATTTGAAGATCTGAAATATATTATAACGACAGCCCATGATCTCACTTAGAAACAATAAGCTTAACGATGATTATTTTTTGTTAACAGGAAGGAAGGCGAATTTCTTTGAAATTTGCTACATTCAAATTTGGTGACTTCCGGCAACTTACCTTCTCTGAATTACACCACTTTTATACAGACGAGGATGAGAAAACACTGGAAGAGATACCACCTCCACATTCTCCTTACACAAGGAAAAATGAATTCTTCGATCCGGATGATTATGCTGAGGTTGACAAATGCGCCTCTGGTGTACGTAGATCTATTTAGAAAAACATCCGACAATGATCCTTTTTCTCCTAATTCTGTTTATTTGTAATACAAAGGAGCTGATTTTATTGTTGAAATAAACAAATGATATTTATGTTGGTAAAAAAAAGGTTATTTTTTGGAGTGTAAACCTAGCTTTAGTTTGAACCACTGCAATTGATATATTTTGTGTTAAGTTGTCAGTCACAGTCACAGAGAGACTGATTAAAATTGGATGAATTTGTACTCGATTATTCGTCACAGATTAAAAATCAGATCTATCACGACTTGCGTAAATATTCTATTTGTTTAAGATTTGATTTCTATTGCAGATTCCAAAATCAAAGGCGACATCTGGGACATTAAAAACGTTAGTGTCCCTTCTAACAGACCAATACGAGGACGATATGTCAAAGGTCAGGGCCATTTATGTCTGGTTAACCTCTATCAACATCAATAAACTGTCTCATCCATTAAAGAACCCTAAAGTTGGATATACGATGTTCTATCTTATGAAGATAAAAGAAAGACTCGGAAATTATTCTCAGCTGTTCAATAGAATGTGCAAGTAAGGCTTTTGTTAAACTCTTTTATTTAGGTAATTGTTATGTTTGTTATACGATTTCTGACGTGGGTGGTATACACGAATGGGGGAATTCAATCCGTTCGTGTGGACGCTATGCGCAGAAAAGTCTGTTGTGGTATCACTATGAGGTTATAACCTTATCGAAATTGAAATTTTTAATCCGAAATGGTAATTTGACTCCTATTTTTTTGCCTAAATCAGATATATGCCAAGGCATTACCACAAAAATAGTTTACGAACAATAACATCTTTGTAAAAGATTGAATAGCATCACGAAGCTCAATTAACAATTTTTGCAATTTTGAATGAAATGCAAGAAGTTCGAAGCCCCAATACAAAACTTGCAAGTCAAAGTTAAAAAAAATTGATAAGAAAATCTGACAGGTCAATGTCGTATGAATAATGGAAGGATTTTATTTGATAGATTAATAATACTTTTTTTTATTTTCCAATTCTATGGGTAAACTTATGGCCTTATCATTACGTCTGATTTGGGTGCTGAGCTGGCTCTTTTCTTATTTCATGTTTCTTTGTGTTTGATATATCTTTTTTTATCCTTTGTCAAATAAATATGGAAATATTTCTTTTCAAACGATGAATTAATGTTTGTTTAATAATACATGTATAGGGTTTTTTTTAATCATGTTTGCAGAATTAAAACGCATAGACATTTTGACAAATTGTTGATATTAAGATAGGAAAAACAAATGATAAAAAACTTAAGACGTAGGATATAAGTCAATGAGACAACAAATTGACATGTCAACTTACGGTCTTCAACAACGAACACGCATGTGTCTAATCAATATGTGTAGCGCAAAATTGCACCAAGTCTAATAAAAAAAGTTGTGAATGAATTAAATTGAAATTAGCATGATTCATTTAATGGAACTTTCTAAAATTTACACTTTGTCAGTATCACTAATATATGTTACGAATAACTTGAATTCTTGAGTATTTTCATGGATTCGCCATTTGTCTTTAATGTATAAAAGACGGTAATAGTCACTATGATAATATAATGTTTCTTTGAGGGAAATCCTGTTAAAAGCAACAACAACAACAACAACAACAAATCAATTCGTGCATTTCATTTTATCCTTGTATTAAATAAAAGTCACTATTCTACAATTTGAAGTCTAATATATTTGTACGTGTTTCTTGGTCTTTTCAGTATTGCTGGAATTCCTTGTGTTGTAATACATGGATACCTCAAAGGCAACACATATGAAATAGGACAAAAACTTGACATAAAAACTCATTACGGTGAATGGAATGCGGTTTTAATTAGTAGTCAATGGCGGTTTGTTAATGCGTTCTGGGGAGCATGTGCACTTGGAAGTGAGAAAGCAATCAATGCTGCTCAGTATAAACCTGATGAAAACTATTTCGTTCCTGATCCACAGCACTTGATTCATACGCACTTTCCAGAAGAGGAAAAATGGCAGCTATTAGATGATCCAATCACTTTCAAAGAATGGGAGGGAAAAGCATATCTAAAAGAACGATTTTTCGAGTTGGAATTACGTCTTTTGTCTCATCAAGAGTGTGAAATTACTACAGAAAATGGAGAAATAGAAATGATGTTTGCACTACCAAAAAAGCGAGCAAAAAACTTGAAATTTATGGCATTAGTTTATATCAAGGAATTTAACGAATGGAAAATATTAGACGACAAGAAAGTTCAACATGACTTCATTCACGTGCCTATAGCAGAAGCACTTGTGGTGAAACTACGCTTTCCAAAACGTGGAGTTTATCGGTTTGAACTCGTTGGTAAAGACACAACAATTACTGAGAAGGATTATGACTTTGATTGGGTAGCTATTTATAAAATTAAATGTGAACAAGCTGCTAGTCCATACTCCGGATTTCCTAGAGTTGGCGCTGCAGGCTGGGGTCCTGGCAACGATCATAGGTTAGAAGATCTTGGATTAACTCCCCTCAAACATACTCAAGGAATGATATTTGCAAAAGACGGTTTCACAAAACTAAGGTTTAAATTCGAAGAGCCAGAATTAGAGGACTTATCATTGTCAGTAAAAATGATCACGGTGAAAGAATCATTGGACGAGGTTCCCACTGAAACCGAGGGCATTCGAGTGGAATCACATGATAAGCATGTGATTGATATAGAAACAACTCCCGGTGAAGAGTCAGCAGCGTGTGTTTTTGCTCTTGTTGAAGACAAAACGTATGGATCAGTTGAAGTCAATATTTGTAACTATTTGATTGTTAGTTTTCCTATTGATGAAATAACACTGAAAGATATAGAATCAACGCGCAAAAGTAAGTTATCGTTTTGGGGGTCATTTATATATCTGATCAGGTATTGTGCTTGTTGGTTAAATATTTAGATACGGTTTCATCCATTGCAGTTTGTTTTAAAGGAACCCACAGCGTTTATTCCTTTAACGTACTTTCACGTTTTTTTATTTCTAAAATGTTTTAAAGAAAATACTGATCTTGTGGTAATGGCGGTTTCTGAGTAGGAACTGAAATCAGGAGCCTGTAGTTCAGTTGTTGTCGTTTATTGCTGAATATCATGTTTGTTTTTCGGTTGTTGTTTGTACATAAATCAGGCCGTTAGTTTTCTCGTTTGAATTGTTTTAAAATTCGATGCCTTTTATAGCTTGATGTGCAGTATGGGTTTTGCTCATTGTTGAAGGCGTACGGTGGCCCATATTTGCTTACTTCTATGTCATTTGGTCTCTGGTGGAGAGTTGTCTCATTGGCAATCATACCAATTCTTCTGATTTATATAGTGACATTAGTTAAATTTCATTACGTTTTGTGACTAAAACTAAATAATAAAGAGAGTAAACAGTCTGAGTATTGCAGTGAGGTGAGAGTTTCTTTTGCCCCGTGTTGAAGACCTCACTTTGATTTTGAGATGAAGAACAGCAATTAAATCGCTGTTTCTTTGCTTTTTGTGTATTTTTTGCTGTGCATGTACTGATTTTATGTCATGGATGGATACCCCATATCCATTGTTTTTCTATTAGAGTACATGTATCCAATAATTTCAATAAAGAGTAAATATTCTATACCCTCAAATTACCCCTAAATATGGTATTAAATAGAACAGAGTTATCTAAATAGTACAAAAATAAGTAATGAGTCTCCACTTTTAACTTAAGTTTGTACATGTGTCGTCTAAAAAAAATAGACAAACGGAAGCAATTCACAATAGTCAGGAACCTGATGCTCAGTGGTTGTCGTTTGTTGATGTGGTTCATAAGTGTTTCTCGTTTCTCGTTTTTTATATAGATTAGACCGTTGGTTTTCCTGTTTGAATGGTTTTACACTAGTCATTTTTTGGGCCCTTTATAGCTTGCTGTTCGGTGTGAGACAAGGCTCCGTGTTGAAGGCCGTACTTTGACCTATAATGATTTACTTTTACAAATTGTGACTTGGATGGAGAGTTGTCTCATTGGCACTCATACCACATCTTCTTATATCTTTGTATTGTTTTAAATAGAAGTATAATTTCAATATACTATTTTTCCACTATAAAATTCAACTCCTCTTATGTATTTATATAATTAATACTCTTACATTAATTCTCTATTCTCAAAGAAGCACGCCAACTGATTATAACTGAGTAAACTATACAAAACCATTTACTTAAATGTGTGCACTCAAATTGTTCTAAGGGAGCAACCATTTAACTTCAAAAGGGGGGGGGGGGGGGGGTTATAGTTTTTTTCCGAGTCAGAATTTTTTTCGCGAGCAATTTATTTTAGTTTTCACGAAGTTAAATGGTCGTTCCCTTATCATAAAATTAAAGCTGGAAACAACCGAAAAACATAGGTCATAAACAATGAAGAAAGTCATGTAAGTGTACAAAAGTATTCTATTCGGGAAAATTTTCATTAATATGATTGCACCATCCCCGTATTACGAAATTCTGAGATGATCAATATAAGAGGGCATAAAACATTATCACTTCATGCATCAATTTTGGATAAAAACAAAATCAATAAAAGCAGTAGAGATTGTTTCCATTCAGTGGGTTTCTTACTAAGAATTCATGGTTTTTCATTTAATGTAGCACAACAGTCTTTATTTGAATCTGCAACTGATTATGTTAAAATGGTGTATCTTTGTTATCTGTTTATATATGCAGACAAATGAGGCACTAGATGAAACAAAAAATCAACTAGTAACTGTTTAAACATACAGTTACTAATATTACAATTAATGAAATATTAACAATGTTCCATATTTGGAGAAAAGTTTATATTTTTTGTTACTTTTTATTTTCGAAATTAACGCCTTTAGTTTTGCAGCAACTAAGTAGTTTTTTTGTGCAGTTGAACTACAAAATTTAATGTCTCTGATTTCTAATATCACTTCCTATTACGGAAAAATGACTATTTTCGTTCCACTGACCTTACAAATATTCAACATTGGTTTATTTTTTAACTGGACCTTATATCAAACATCTGAGGCATGGTTTTGTGGGATTTTGTTGCTCTTTATTATTAATAGTTTCTCCTACGCTTACAACGCTAATTTAGGAAGAAGAATGGTGTATTTAAAAAAGAGATTCTCCCACATATGGCCATTTAAAAATATGCAGGTAATGTTAGTTTTATCAACTTTTTGGAAATGCTTCTTTGCTATCTCTCTTTGAAATGGAACTTTGTTGGTCTTAATATCTTTTGAAATGAGAAAGACTTTAAGTTAGTTGCTCAAAGTTCAATTATTTCATGCATACAAAGGACAAAACAATATTAATAATTATTACAATAGGTAGGTTTTGCAAAGTAAGACGACAGGTATTTAGGGCTAGAAATTTAGATTGTCACAGGAAAAAAATGGTATGTTTGAAAGGGACTGAAATTTTGTCTTGCAACAGGTCAGTTACGGACCCATCCAAGAGATGTTGGAAGGGTTCTGCATGTTTATACATCCCGACAGCCAAGAGGACGTTCAACTTTATCAAAGGTTTTACTGCCGGTCGGAAGAAGACCAACATGGCCATATGTCTTGAAATAAATAAATTGAAATGAATAATATCAAACATACATCCATGCACAAAGCATTACAGAGACTTCAAATGTAAAATAAAAACACATGTCCCATCAAAGGCTAATATGAAAAAAAGAAAGATTTGATAGATGTTCAATGATAACAACATACTACTTTACTTGAATACATAAGAATACAAAACAACATTATACAGTGGTTGTGTAAATGAATTATTTTTTTCAGCTTTGTTATTGGCTATTGAACAGAAGAAGCTCGATTTGTTGGAAAAGGCAGTAGATATAGTAGAAACAAAGAATTACGAAAGACATATGCCAAAAGAAACTGAAACCGCTCGAGATCTGATAGCACGTCTCCGTAATATACAACGACTAATGCATGATGTTCTGGCATTAGATAACAGAGTCTTCGCTGAGATTCGGTCATATCCGAGCCCTATTCCGGAAATTCACGATGTGATGAAAGCAGCACTGCTTCTCTTGGGAAATTTTGAAGAGGAGACAAAGGTAAATAAGTACACATAGCATAAAAAAGCATCACTCCGTAATATGAAAGAGAATTTAAAAGCTTAACGTAAAATTATTATGAAATTAATGTTTAAATAATTGGCACCAGTAGCACATAAAGTAGTTAAATACAGAAGAACAATGAAATTATCATATCATGAATTTATTCCATTTCAAAAGGCTTTAGTCAGTGACTTAAAAAAGCTTTATAAGAACTGTATTTTATTTAGGTTTGCTTCGAGGATTTTCGACTCGTCAATTTTTTTTCTCTCCGCGTTGTATTAATAGTGAACTTTTAAGCAAACATATTGATAATATAACGTTATATTATAGTGTTATTGCACGAATATTATACAATTACTGTCTTTTGATGAGGTAAATGTGTGGTTTTATTGACTTTCGAAAAACTGATATTCACTGAGGCCAACGGCCGAAGTGAATGTCACTAGGTTTTTCAAAAGTCAATTAAACTTATACCGAAACAAAAGACAGTAATTGTTTTATTCCATGTTCCGTTCGATAATTTGAAGCTATATTTGAACTAGAGCAATATGATAGATTATTCCACTGTATGTAAATATTGATATCGAAATCAACATTTCATTGGTTGAGACTTTCTCACGCGACATTGAACAAAACTTCATATTCCCCTCTGAGTATTTTTATTCCCCTCTGTAATGTCGGGACTACCTCTAGCGACGTTACGCGCGGTTTATGTACATAACGTTTTGAACGTTTTTTTTATAATAGCGATAATATAGTTATTATTGTGTTCAAAACTATTTCAGACGTCAGAACAAAATATAAAGAAAATTGAACTTGTCATATTAGAGTAAGTGATTAACTTTTGATTGGTATTGCTTATCAATGTTTATGTCGTGTTTAGTTATAAAAACGGATATGAAACCTTGTATGGAAATTAATATTTTATGTTCATGAATAGTATAGGCAGTGGAATAAAACATTCATTTCCCTTGGCTTAGAGAGGTATGAAGATTTGTTCACCCTCGAAAAGTCATATTTCCCTCGGGCATCAATATGATTTTCTTGGGTGAACAAATCTTCATATCTCTCTCAGGCACGCCAAATAAATGTTTACTATTGCACGTTAGCTTTTCATTACGTTCTGTGAGAAATACTATGTTGTTATATATATAAACAATAAATCATTGTACTGCACATTATATTTTTATATTTACAAACACAAGTACAATCGATGTATCCAACAATTGCATTGTTATTTTGTTTTTGTAGTACTGGGATAATGTACAAGCATTGCTTGGTAAAATTGGTAAAGAATCAATCAAAAGACGTATAGCATTGTTTGATATTGACACACTAGAGCTAGATATAGCTTTAGGTGCCAGGAAGATGTTAGGAAATCTGCTGATTGACAATGTGAAGCAGGCTAGTGCAGGAGCGGCAACATTTTATGTATGGGTACGTACACGAGTCACGTGACACAAGCCAAGTGATAACTGTAGCTTATTTAGAATGTTCTGTTTAATGCATTTTTATGATTGATTTTGAACTGAAAAAACTGAAATGAAAATAATATTGCATAAAAGTGAAAAATTAAATGGATATTGAAATATTGAAAACGTGTTTCATCATATTTGAATATATTTTAAAAATTGCGATGTTTTTGTAAAGGTGCAAGGAATTGTAGACGAAATGCAAAGTCGCTATTCAGATATGATTGGATTAGTTGCCCCTCGAACTCATCTTATGAGCGGACAAGGAAAGACACTTCAAATGGTTTTAGATGTGAATGAATATATGGCTCTTCATGACATTTGATTACCAAAAAAGAGGTTAAATCTGAATATGCTGTTTGGTTTTTAAATTGCTGTGTTGTTATTGTTTGAGATTAATATCTACAAAAATGTACCTGAAAATATGTAATAAACATCCTAATACAAAGGCTTATATGTTGCAGTGGTGTTTCAGTTTCATATATGAACTTTTTTTTTTATTTTATGTAAAAAATTGTTTTAAATTTTAACATATTGGCAAATATATATATAATACTACAGTTGTTAGCTGAAGAATTGTTTTTCATCAAAATCTGGAAACTGCACAGTTTGCTAACACATTTTTACTTTCAATTCTTTGTGTGGAGTGGATAACACTAAATACACGATTAGCACTGTCTATTTCAAAATGATTTTTTATCTAGGAACGAAGCCACTGACTTTTAATAATCGAGGATGTGGATGGGGGTCCTTCATTTCTGTATTCTTTAATTTACTAGCTCAAATTTTTCTATTTATTTCTCTATTTGCCCATTATTCTCTATTCTTTGTTTTTCAGCACCCCACTATTCATATTCTTTATTTTTTGGCCTTTTTTTCTCTATTCTTTATATTTTTTGGCCTTTTTTTCTCTATTGTTTATATATTTTTTTCCTTTATTCTGCAATTTGTACCAATTATTCTCTATTCTGTAAAGCTCATCCAAACCCTCAATCAAGCCACTGACTTTTAATAATTGTAATGGAAAAGATTTTTATAATTTTTTGTTATATATTTCGTTTCATAATTGTTTAATATAATGCATTTATTTGGGTGTGTACTCCGGCTTCGTCCGCCAATAAAAAACTGAACGCGACGAAATAGCCAACAGTGCTGAAAGTGGCGTTAAACACCAATCAATCAATCAATCAACAATGCTCATTTTATCAATTAGGTGGACAATGGGTTTTTTGTTTATTACCTGTAACAATTGTTATAATTACTCAGCCAATCAAATCATGAAACAGATAAAGACGAACAACATGCTTTTTTATCGTAAAGTGTATTGTTATAAATCATGTCGTTAGTTTTCACGTTTGAATTTTTTTTCACATTTTCCATGTTGGGGTCTTTTATAGCTGACTATACGGTATTGGTTTTTCTCATTGTTGATACTATACAGAGATCTATAATTGCTTATATCCACGTCATTTGGATATAAAGTTCTCTCGTTGGTAATTATACCATCTTTCTTATATAGTTCAGATAAATCTTAATAGTTTAAAACATCAATGTTTAAAGTTTTGAAGTATCATCTTATGAGATCATGAACAGTCGAAAAGGATACTTTGAAATTTATTCTATTCTAACATCAAACTATTATAACAGTTAAAATCCGGAATCAATTAGAAATAAACCTTTGATTGCTAGAATGATAAAAACTAAGAGAAAACATCGGCTTACTAGGTTTCTGGCTTGAAACCCTGTTACGTTATGTTTTTGTCTATTCATAATTGGGATTGACGCCAGTTCTTGTGTCTTCACTGTTGAATTAATTCATAATTTCCGTCTAGATTCGGGCACCAAAAAGCGCGACTGCGATTGTAGCATTTATGCATCGTTAAACATCTGTATGGCGATCTCGTTCTGGTGGATTGTTGTCTCATTGGCGTTAAACAACATGTCACTAATGCATAAAAAAAAAACAAATTAAGACCTTATAGACATGTTCAGTTGTTTAGTAAATATCATAAGTATGATTGATTTTGAATTTTTTTAAATGGTTCGGTCTGGTCTATTTCAGATAATGGGAGTCATTGAGGAAGTGGAACGACGAAACTACAAAGTGATTGACAATACATTCCCAAGGACAAAACGCCAGAAGAAATAATTATATGGATTCTTTGAAAATTTATAATTGTTAATTTCATACCAACATGTTTGTGTAGCACATTTCATACACCGTAAAAAATAAAATTTAGAAATACATAAAACACAATACAAAAAGAAATCTGATTAGGAACACACAGAACTAATTTACACTTACTTAATATCAACCCCTTAATATCAATCCCCCCCACCCCCAATTAATGACTTCTTCATCAACAGATAATGCGGAAGATATGTATTAAAATGATAAAAAAAGAAGAAATAGTTCCGTGTGCTTGTTTAAGAGATTAAAGCGAAATGGATATTTGGAGGAAAGAGTTCTGTCATACGCGATGTATGTTACTCAGTATTTGAAATATATAAGAAAGAAGAAAACATTTTTTTGACTAGATGTGTATTTGAGAAAACTAAAAAAATAAATATAAAGAAATGGAGGGGTTGATAAGCAAAACTGTTCAACAGCCTTTCCATGAAAAAGCAATATGGGTTATAAGATAATAAGCAAAAGTTGGGAATGTAGGAAATGAACATACCTTTAACATCGCTCAAGTAATTTTAGATAAAAAAGGAATGTGAAGGTAAAAAAAAGTATATTCAGTAGAATGTCATGTCAATATGGAAATACTGTCTTTTAAAAAGGTAATACCTACGGGTCCATTTCAAAAAGCAGTTAGCTGTCACCATTTAATTCTGTTATTTAATTGGAATACCTGCTTGGGAACTTTGTTATAATATGTGATCTTTGTCTGACCATAATTAAAATAGATGAAAAAGAGAGGCAAAAGATACCAAAGAGACATTCAAACTCATGAGTCCAAAAATAAACTGACAACGCAATGGCAAAAAAAACACACCAAAAGACAAACAACAGTACACAAAACACAACATAAAAAAGACTGATCAACACGAACCCCACCAAAACCAGGGTTGATCTCTGGTGCTCCAGAATGGTAAACAGATCCTGCTCCACATGTTGCACCCGTCATGAATACGTGTAAACAAAATGCTTCAATGGATCTAATTTATTTTTCAACTGATATCTAAAAAATAATCAAATATTTTAGGAAGTTTCTGTAAGTTTATGTCACTAAGCCATTTTTATTTGTATATTTTGTATGTCTATAGACATAAATAAGGGTATAATGATGTTCATTTCTTTTAGATTATATACATGTGCACCAATAATGTACTTCCATCTATATTTACAACCCTACAATGATGACATAACATTAAGTTGAAGGATTCATTCACCTCTGGAATCTCAGTCTGAAAAGAACACAATTTAATAATGTTAATTCAGAATTTTTTTGCGTCCAACTATTATTTTTCGAGAATGGACAAATAATATCAAATAATTTATTGCGATTTCAGTTAATGCTACACACAAATAATAGTTACAAAATGTAAAGTGAGAGTTTTTAATTTTTGCGATACGTTACGGTAGTTCTTCGCAATTTTTGCAGTAATAAAAACGTCGCAAAATTTTCTGAATTCACAGTAGTTTAAAATTATTTTTGATACACATATTCGTTTTGCCGACAAGCCGACAAGCATTAAACGTATACCGGGGGTATGTGTTTCCTATACCGTCAAACTGACAACTATTTTACCAGCACTGGTCATTATTATTATTTCGGTATAGGTCAAAGGTTATGTTTTGAAATGTTTTATTATGTAACCATAATATCAATGAATTTCTACATTTATCTGATATACCATTTACATATTATTAAGAACTTTTCAAAATATTTGCTGTTTTGTTAATACATTCAGCATATTTTTTTTCATATGATTTAGGTGCTAGTTTATCAAAATGATAGTTGTCTATTGTTTTGCTTTGAAATCCTTTTTGATTGTTGCTGACAGGATCTGACAGAGACTGATACAAAATGTAAATAATGTAAATGCTAATTAGGACAAAAGCAAAGCATCTGCTTGTTACTCAATAAACACATTCTGTCATAAATTTGTTACATGTATTCATTCATATCGCTTCAGATGTTCTTTTTTTTTTATTTTGACATTTTAAATAAGGTCATCAACTTCCTGTTTACTAAATATTTATATGTGTTCTTACACATAATTTTCGTGTATTAGACTAGTGAAACTATTACCCGAAGAGAAGCTGTTAGAGACAGGAGAGAGAAAGGGGAAAGATACAAAAGGGATATTCAAACTCAGAAGTCGAAAACAAACTGACAATGTTATGGCAAAAAAACTAAAATCGATCAAAAGATCGACAAAAGTATACAAAACAAAACATATAAAAACTTAAGACTGAGCAACATGAACCCCATCAAAAACCTGGGTGGTCTCGGGTTCCCGAAGGGTAGGCATATCTTGCACCACCCGTCGGTTTGCTCATCTAAGTACAAACCCAGGTGGATAGGTCACATTTGACGAAAATAGGACATAATTACAACACCAACCTACAACAAGTAATGAAGAGACAACACAAATGACTTGGGACAGGCACATGCAAAATGTGGCGGGTTTTAACACATTTACGAGCGCTAAACCCATGGGACAACGGTGTAACACCACAACAAAAGAACAAAAACTGTAAAAAAGGCTTTACTCATCATATCGATATAAAGACACAAAGTACTGATCTAAGAGTACTAATGGCAATTAAGTAAGGATTTATAAAAGCTTGACATTTTGTAAAACAACCTGTCTATTGTCGAAAAATGAATGAAAAGGATCCTATGATATAGGGATTGTTTTAAATTTTATGTTCAAATGTCATATAACTTTATGTCGAATTGAAGTTAGCTCATTACTTCATTACTGATGATTAGCTGTAAAATTCATGTTCACCGATTTCACTCAAATTCTCATATTTGATTTATAACATACTAAAACGTATATTCAAATTACAAAAAAACTAAAATAAACAATTAATTGCATGGACTCGAAAAATCTGTATCAGCATGTCGTGTGTATTTTAGACTAGATTCCATCTAATTAACAATCGAGAGGACATCCGGAGACTGTCGACGGTCATATTAGCCGATACCAACATAAATATAAATACAAATATATATGGAACACGTGCAATTGAATTTTTCTAGGTCTGTTTGATTTCATATCATACAAATGTATGTTAGAAAAATATATTAGTCATCGTTTTTACCTGAATAAGGATGATATTTTTTGAATCGAATAAGTCAAGCAAATGGTTCATCCTTGTTTCACTTTCAATGTTGACATTCTTTTCCATTTAATAGCTGAACACATGCTTGACCCCTCTAAGGGGTTAAATTGTTTGTTGTTATAGTGATTAAGATTATAACACAATGTTGACTGCTGTATCCCAATTTTTTTCATTTTTACCTGTTATGCCAGTTTGCTATGCTCACACATTGTTGTCAAAATAATGGAATTCTATGTGACTGTCATACAAGTGAGAGGTTTACACATCCTGCATGTTTTCAAGAAAAATGAATCAAGCCTGGTCATTTTAAATTTATTTTAACCCCCCCCGCTTTTTCCGTTTTCCCCCAAATAAAAATCAAATGTTTGCTTGCTTACCTCTGAAATCTTTTCCATACATTACTTACTTGCGAAGATGCATTTTTAAAAGTCTCAAATGTGTACGATATTCATCTTTTACTTGACATGGTTCTTTTTTTTATGAAATTATTGGATTTTTTAATTTCTTTAGAAAAAAGCTATAGGCTGAAGGGAAGTGAAAAAAAAGTTTGTGTAATTGTCTTACTTACATTGACTGGTATATGGCCATTTAAGTTTCGAATCTGTTAAATTTTGCTACTTCTTCTACATGCTAAATGTACTACTTCTTTCTTGAAACGTCGTACAAGTCAGATACAAAACAAAGGTAACAAAAAACAGGCCGGAAACAAACTGCCGAATAGTTTTTCTGCACTCGTAGTCAGGTCAAGGTCCTCGGCTATTGCCTCGGACCTTCACCTAACTACTCGTGCAGAAAAACTATCCGGCAACGCTTGTTACCGGCCTGTTTCTTTGTTACCTTTGTATTGTATCTAATACATAATCACAAGGAAATCGTTTTCTATCAAGTTATGTCGTCTGCGTGATTTTATGATCAGTAAACATGCAAAGAACGTAATCATAGGTATCCTGAAAATCGTATTAACCGCAATCAACACAATTATTTTACAACTAATGATTTTCAAGTTTTTATCTATATTTAAAGACAATGGTGGACAATGATTATCATGCAACCTTAGATACCAGTCAATTAATTGCATGATATTTATAAGGAGTGTGATACAATATCGTTTTCCAGTTCAAGATATGGATGTACTGGTATCATAACAGATATTTTCTGTTACCATAGACTGTTCCCTCATATTGACAAACCTGAAGATCATAAAAGGCATTTTCTAAAAATAAAATATATTACAAAGTAACTGATTTAATCAATTTTTCTAACTTTTTTTTTCGTTATCATACCTCCATATATTGATAACTTAGAGTCACCTATAATTTCTTATACGTATAAAAACAAAACCAGTAGAAGTTTAATTTTGAATTATGCGTCAGTAAAAAAACATGATACTGTGAGATCTAATCCATATGGCCATATAATAACAGGGGACTTCGACTTCATTCGAGACCGATTGTTCATAAACTTTTTAAAAAAAAAATCACGAAAATATCATCCACGTCGAAAGCAAATTGGAAAGAGTATCGTCGGGTCATTCAAGATGCTGTTTCGTCCTATTGTCAAAATAAGTGTAAACGGGAGAAATATGACAACTTGATTTATGTCGGAACAAATGTCTGAATATTGTTTATATTTGCATATCACATTTCTAAACTAATTTAAGAATAAATTAAAGGGTAAGTCATACGACCATGTCTAGGATGAAAAATAAAATTCAAGTACTCGCAAGGCGTTTTGTTTTCCTACCGGCCAACAAAGCTGTCCACTATGTGGTGGTGGTATGACGTAAATACTACACGAAACGTCTAAAGAATGAAATAAAACATGCTTCCACAATCAAAGCCGTGCGCTCCACAGAAAGTCTAATAGTAAAACATCATGTCACTACCACATCTCAGCTAATACCTCCTCTGAATATCCCTTCTATGTATTGGCTATCTAACCTACACACACAACTTTCAAATGTTTAATCAAACAAAGGTTCTCTTGTTTTATTTAATGGTTTTTAAGAAATCTGATCGCAGATTTATTTGCTGCAACTCAAACGAAACATTCTTCTGTAATGAAAAAGGCAAATTTGCTAAATATTCTTACTGGAACTGTGATGAGATGATTAAAGCTGTAAGTTTTCCTTAATAACAACATCTATGTACGTTTCAGCAGTAACGTTCATTGACAGGTTGTAGGCATTTCTATGAGTACTAATGGCCCACTTTTGAAAGCAGACTTATTTTCCTTAGAAGCGCACGAAGTTTCCCGGGTAACACCCGGGTATATGGATTTGTAACATCCAGGACAATGGGTTTTTTAACGACGTGTCATTAGCCAATCAAAATCCTAGAAATATACTATGCCGGGGTTAAAACATGTTGAAGAACTGATCATGATATGTTGCATTCCTTCTAGTTTCCTTAATCTCAGTTCACTGGGATATATGAGGTGCAAACATTCAAGGAGTCTAGTATGACGTCCATTATTACTGAACTAGTACATTTTTTTGTTTAGGGGCCAGCTGAAGCACGCCCCCGGGTGCGGGATTTTCTCGTTGTATTGAAGACCCATTGGTGGCCTTCGGCTGTTTTCTGCTCTTTGGTCGGGTTGTTGTCTCTTTGACACATTCCCCATTTCCATTCCCAATTTTAATTTTACTACCTGAAATAAGACCAAATCATACAACATTGAAAAATAATGATGAGCATACCTACAATCCATGTCTGATTGTATCCCAGATAATGAGTCATTATTCAATTGAGAAGAATTGAACCGTTCAAACAATTATCATCAACACTGTATTTACAATATGCAGAACACCAACTCTGAAAAAGAGGCAGAAAATGAAAACAACACTGGAAACTACTGTCGCCTTAATTTACAACCTCCGTAGGATGTAGTATACCGATACGTTACATTGTCTTTAATCTTTTCAGAGATAATGAAAACAGGATCGCAACTGTGTGGTATATAATCTTTACTGCTACAATTATCAAAGGGGTGCTATATTTTTTCTCTTTTTTCACATTTTTATTACGGAAAAGCAGATTATTTTGTCAACAATTTTTAACGAACTTTTCAGAATAATTGTTTCTCTCTTGCCTGGCAATATAATGTTTTCTTCTTCAAAAATTGAGAATCTGGATCAAATATTATACCCCCTTCTTTTAAAGAACGTGACTGTTCCTCTATCTAAAACAGGAACATTTCATCCTTTGATAGAGAAAATGGTATTTATTTCAGCCTAATTAACGGAGGAAAGAACTGTTTCGGCCTAAACTTTTAAAATGTTCAAGATAGAAAATTGTACAGTAAAACCCAATAGTTAACAACACACGAATAAAATGTTTAAGTACTCTGTAGTTTGCATTTTTATCATTGCAAATAATGCCTTGAAGCACGTTTCATTGGAACTGGATATCGTCTAGGTTTGTTTCTTCAAAAGAATGACCTATCGGTATGAAAGGAAATAACACCATAGAAGTATATAAGCAAGCTGAAATTGACTTACTTTTCTAATAAGTTACACATGTATTTTCGACCCATTAATCGAGTTTGAGTTTCGATTTTTTAAATATTGAACTAGTTTGAAAATAAATACTATAGCTATCTACGAATAGTTTTGTACACAACATTATCTTAAATTATATCAATATATAGTAAGAGTTTATACAAACTTTAACATAAAAGTAACGTTCTGATCGAAAGTTGCATATGTATTGTTAATAGCCTTTCTTTGTTAAATCTGAATCTGGAATTAACTTTCGGAAATTCTTTTAACCATAATTCTATATTCTGGAATTACATATAAAATTGTAACTGAAATAAGTGAAAAACATACATTTTAGTATTGCTTTTCAGTAAATGGTAAGTGTTCACAACACTCCTTATATGGAACGATACATACTGGATCATCAAGATATTCGACTAAACATCTTTCTGAAGTGCTGACTACTATTCTTTCTACAGTAAAAGATGGCCTTCAGAAATATTTTAATGAGATATATTTAACCAGTGGTGTCAATCAGATGTGGATTCTTAAAAATTCTAAAGATTTACTGCTAAATCTTAGATCACAATCTCTGCAATTCGCAGCAACATTAAGACCTTTGATTTTCCTACGCTTTACACTACTATTCTCCATGCTCAATTGAAAATATCGACTTTACCATCTCATTAAACAGAGCTTTTTCTATAAAAATAGGAATCGTAGATATAGATTTCTTGTTTTGTGTTATAATAATTCTTATTTTGTGAAGAACCACACTGATTCTATCAGAAAATCCACTGAAGATGATATTATAAAAATGCTGGACTTTTTGATCGATAATATTTGTTGAGTTTGAAGGATTGATACTTCAACAGACAGTCGGTATCATAATCGGTACTAATTGTGCACCCTTACTGGCCGATTTGTTTTTGTATTTGTATGAAGCAGAATTGATTCAGAACCTTCTAAAAGACAAAAAGAAAAAGCACCTTGCGAAATTCTTTAATTTTACTATCAGATATATTGATGAAATCCCATCACTGAATAATCCATATTTCAGTCAGTACTTACATCTCATATATCCCAGTAAACTTGAAATTAAGGATACTACTAATACTAAAAGAAGTGCTTCATACCTTGATCTTTTCCTTAATATGGATACAGATGGACGACTGCAGACTAAAATCTACGACAAACGGGATGATTTCAAGTTCCCAATTATCAATTTCCCATTTCTCAGTAGTAACATACCCTCTGCCCCGTCGTATGGTGTTTACATATCTAAATTGATACGGTATGCTCGTGCATGTTCACACTATACGGACTTTATATACAGGAGTGTGCTCCTTACGCAGAAACTGCTCCAACAGAGTTATGAGGAGGAACGATTAAAATTAATTTTATGGAAACCATCACGAATTGGTTGATCTATACGATGTGTCAGTGTCTAAACTAACTAATAACATTTTAACCACGTCTTAAATTGTAGTTTACCATCTACGTCATCTGGTCTGCTTAGTACCGAACGTGAGCTATTACGAATATTACTGTTTTACCGAGTGTGAATTCGCATTGCTATACGACATGTCTCTGTATTTATATACTGTAAACCAACTAATTTTCGCGAGCGATTTATTCTCGCAAATTTCGCGAGTAGAAAAATAACGCGAATATAAATCGTCGCGAATATGTAAAAGAGGGACGAAAGATACCAGAGGGACAGTCAAACTCATAGATCGAAAACAAACTGACAACGCCATGGCCAAAAATAAAAAGACAACCAGAAAAACAACAGTACAGATGACACAACATAGAAAACTTGAGACTAAGCAACACGAACCCCACCAAAAACTGGGGGTGATCTCAGGTGCTCCGGAAGGGTAAGCAGATCCTGCTGCACATGTGGCACCCGTCGTGTTGCTTATGTTATTACAAATCCGGTAAATAGTCTAATTCGGTAAGTCACATTCGTGAAAAGGGAAGGGTATTGTAGCTACGACATAAGGAACATATCCGATATCATCTGTGAAACGGTTATTCCATAACGGTCAACCAATTCGTGATGGCGTAAAACTTGGATTTTTCCTTATTTAACTACATCAATCAAATTTGAAAATCGCGAAATTAAATCGCCGCGAAATGGGCTTGTAAGGGCTAAACGCGAAATAAAGTATCCAACATTCATGTATTTAGTTATGATGTTTCTTTTGTAAGTCCGGTTGAATATTTTGTTATGTCTTATATTCGCAGTTGGAGACGATGTGGTTCGGTATTTATATATCCCGCTTTCGGTCATTTTGTTGTTACTTTCTTATACGTGTGTGTCCTGTGGGTCATTTTGTGCTGAGTTGTTGTCTGTTTATTTCGTTTGTGGTTTAAATTCTGTATTTTAGGTACATTTTACATATGTCTTATTTGTCAGTATAATCGAATTACTCGTGGTTCGTCTACAGGGTTTTTATTTTATGTTGTTTGTTTTCATGTGTGTTTACAGTTTTGTCTTTCATGATCTTGCCTTATATTCCCAGCAAACACACAACATTTTAAAAACATTTTTTAAATGTCATATGGACGTCTCTCACAAAATACTTCAATAAGATATCATTTAAACATAAAAAAAATGTTTATTTTATTGTTTTTGAAATGTTTTATTTCTAACATTTAAGTAAAATGTTTTTACAACATTAACAAAATATTATTTGCTAATATCTTTTATTCATGTTCTCAAACATTGTTCTAAAATATCCCGTAGATATTTTATAATATAAAAAAATAATATTTTCTTCAATTGGTATTTTATATTTTAACAACATTTAAAGTAAATATTTTCCAAATATCCAAAAAACATTCTGCAAAAAAATGTTTTACAGAAAATATAGTTTTGCTATTTGCATAAAATGTTTTATAACGTAAAATTAAAATGTTTTACATAAAACATCTGAAAAATATCAGCTAAATGTTTTCTATAAAATATTCTGACATACACATTACTTAATAGTCTTACTGATATTTTATTCAACATTTTACGGATATAAAAATAACATTTTATTTAAACTTTATTCAAAACCCCACACACAACGTTTTGTGGAATTAGCTCGTTTTTTTCAGGATAAGATATAGTACTACATTTCATCAATATCATGACAAGCAAGATACTATGGTTGAAATCCTTAATTGATATCTTGAAGATCCTTGAAGTCAGATTGTATTCCTTCTTATATTAAAATTCAACATTAAATTACGCAATAATGTATTAATAAACAATCACCTTTTTTGTTTAATGTTTATTCATTTCGTTCGTGTATATTTTAGAAATTAAGAAATGAAAACTGTAACTGTACTAAGTTCAATTTTCGTATCGTTTAAATGTCTTACGGAAAACCGACCTTTTCCGGAATCGACTTTTGTTTTATCACCGGAAATGATTTTGAAATTTTAATTTCGAAACGAAGACAGGATGTCAACAAAGAGAGCCAAGAAAATTGTTTGTTACGCGATATATACTCACTTGGTAAGAATGATTAATCTGTTAAGATGAACTTGTGCATTCATCGTGTGTGTTCAATCATAATCGGAACCAAATTACATCTGTTTCTGGAGGTGCGGATCAAGGTTTTGAAAAAAGGGGGCCCCTGCCCAAGGCAAACAAACGTTTGGAGTGATACTTGCAAATAGTCTATACATTTATCTTATAAGTAGCTCCATAAGGGGGTCGGGGCCCCTAAATCCGCCACTGTTCAAGCATCTACGTACACCAATTATGAATTTGTTCATTGATATAAAAAAATTATAAGGATATGTGGCTTGTGTGTTTGATTGCCAATACACCTTATCGCTATTTGTCCGCCATTACTGGCCATGGACATCACAAAAGTTCCCATGAAATGTTGACGTCATATTAGAAAATATTTGACACCACAATTGAAAGTAATACACCTTATCGCTATTTGTCCGCCATTACTGCACATCACACAACTGTCACAAGTTTCCTTAAAATTTTGACGTCATCATAAAAAATATCTGATGCCACAATGGAAAAGTGATTGTTGTTTGACGTCAAAAGTTCAAGCAGGATAGATTCTCGGATCAAGCGGGAATAGCGATAAGGTGTATTATTGTATGACGTATGCTGACGTAAAAAGTTCAAGCGGGACAGATTTCCAAATACTGAAATAGCGATAAGGTGTATGAGACAGCTATCCACCAGAATTTAAATGACTTGGATAAAAGAAATTATAGGTCACTGTACAGCTTTCAAAACTGAGAAAACCAATGCCATATAGTCCACTTTGAAGCCTTGACAAACAAATGTTAAACTTTTCTCAACACAATTGAAACAAAACAACTAACTGCCTACATTAAATACACATAATGAAAAAATTTGACAGACTTAAACCAACAACAACTATTGCAATAAGCATGACTCAATACCTTGTTTCCGAGGCACACAAACAAGTTACAATAACACTAATATAAGCACCATTTGAATATGGAGATTTTTTTTTCTAGTAAAATCATTGTATGTATGTATTTGCAAAACAGTAAATTAAATTTCCCTTAACAGCTTAATGAACATTACAAAGACTATGTAAGACTTCAGTACAAGCAAGATAATATAAACTGTTGCTTAAAATTATATTTATTGCTTCATACACACAATGTACATACAATGTATCTTTTATTTTTTAACAGGAGCTAAAAGAAAAGCCACAAAGGACAAGTTCAATATGCAGGTTTACAATTTGGAAGTGGCGCAGGTTCTTTGGAATGTCTACAACCTTTCAGGAGAATTTTTTTTTTGAAGTAAGATTTTCATACAGAATTACTGTTATTCCATATTTAATTCAAATATTTAGCATAAACAATGCATTACATTCAAGATTAAGGGCATACAATACAGAAAAGATATCTGGATATTTGAATAAATAATTTTTTTTGTGACAAAATAGAAACAAGTTGTTTATTTAAATCAATCTTTTAGTCCAACATATTTGCTTTCCTTTGAAGTATTTCAAATACATATAAACAACTCATTTAATGACATCTGTGTGTTTCTCGGAAGTTAAGTTATATTATTATCATCATTGTGAAAACAATGCTTAACACTTCGATAAGTTATTATGTGCCTATAGTATACTTCTAGGACTGTATCATATGCCCTTAGATACAAATGACAAGTTATAAACTATGTCACTCTACAGAGTTTAACACTTAAAAATGACAATAAGATGTTTAATGACATTATGTAGCAGGGCTTTTAAAGGCCCCTACATGATACAATGCATTTAATGAAAACTAAAAAAAAACAAGAAAAACAACAGCCTGATTTATACAAAACAATAAAAGAAAAAAATTATGATAGACAACAATCAACGAGTATAATGAAATAAGACTCTTGACTGGACACATATCTAGTCTAAAGTTTTTTATGTGTGTTTTTTTTAAATAACTTAATGAAGTTCAGCGTGGCATATTGCTCTCTCTTAACACGGTCAGTCATTTATCGTCCCCTTCCGACAGACTATCATCGTTATTTGTTTCAAAACTTTAAAGGGGAGGGGATGTATATCCTTCAGGCAACGTGAATCGTTCTATAATAAAGGAATGTGCAAGAAGTTTATATATGAATGTAAGATTAATTTTTTTTCAGAAGCATGGCACAGCAAGAAAAAGATATAAGACACTACAAGACATTCCAAGTGATTTTGAATAAGACAATTGATTGACTTTTTCAATGTATTCTTAAATAAATCAAATAGTTGATGTAAAATGGTGTTTTGTTCTCATCTCTTCAGCCAATTATCAATGATTATTGACTTAAGATTTAACCCTATTAGAAGTGTAGCGTTTTAGTTTAGAAAGAGAAGTTGTATTGAAAAATCTGAATTTGGGACACAAGTTTTAGTCAATGTAACTTGAACTTAAAAATGTGGATAATGTTTGCATAATGTCCAATGGCATATATGTCATGCATGTTCAGGTTGACATATGCATGATGTGTATAAGATAGGTAATAAAAGTTGAGAGTGAAAAACTAAAAATTATACCATTGTGGTTAGAATGTGGGCTTTCTTGCACTGTCTGTCGTCTGTCCACCTATATTTGTCGGATGTTGTCCAACAAATATTTTCATCATTTTTTTTCCCAAAACTGCTGATCAAGATGAGGTCATATTTAATGTTGAATGTTCTCAAATTTTTCATTACTTTAATTAGTAATGCTGATGAACAGAATGACTTCATATTTGGTAAGTGGCTTGACCATGATGAGTTGTGTCTGCCATTTTGGATGTGTCAACATTTGTAGATACTTCTTGTTTTTAGAGACTTTGAATTGTGCATTTCATATGCTTAGCAAAACAACTGATTTATTCTTGTTTGTATATAGAATTAATCACTGTGTATAATTAATTTAACTAATGATTTGTTATTTAAAAAAGCAGGAAACTCAATCAGAAGTACAGACATTTTTATATTGATATGATCTAGATATCAACCAAAAACATTTCTTAAAACATTTTGAAATCATTTTTTAGGCACAGTCTCACTTGCAAGAAAACATCCAAAAAAACATTTCTATAACATTATTTGATGTTCATGATGTTTTTCAAACGTTCAGAAAATATTTCTAGAAAATATTTTTTAAAAGATTATCAAAATGTTTTATACGCCATTGTTTTTCACATTATCATGATATTTCTTTACAACATTTTAATTATATTATGCAAATATTTTAGAAAATATATTAGAAAACGTTTTAGCGATATATATTCTACCATACATTTAATGTTTTTCTCACGTTTTTTTGTGATATTTTCATGACATTAGACACATCATTTTAAAAACATTTTAAAGATGTTTTTGTGTTTGCTGGGTTACAGTTATTTTATTCTTATTTTCTATAGGTATGTAAAATTAACGATACAATGTACAATCGATATATAAAGTTAAGATACAAAATCAGCTACTCCGTTTATGTGATTTTAAGTTTAAAGCAACTATATGCAACGGATTTATTTGTTTATGCACAGTTTTAATTTAGAAGAAAAACCGATACGGTCAGACAATACAAATAATTACACCATTACAAACTCAATCACAATTTTTATATTCTTGTACGTGTCTATAAATAAAACAAATCTATTTTATTTTCAGAAATTTACCTGTGATAATATAAACGTCACTTTTTGTGACGTTGATCCATTCATGTGACGCACAGTTTATCTTTCGATTGTGGTGTCCTGATGTGCTGTCGGAAATTCCTGGGAGGTGTCCGTTGTTATTCTGCGGTTTACATGTTGTAATGTACTATAATATTATTTATTTATGTATCTCTCTGTGCTGAGCGTTCTTGCGTTTGTTTGGACTGTATTCCTGTCATGTAGTGTTGTCATTTTGGCGGTATTTTTAACATTGCCATATTAGCGGAAGGTTTGGCTAGCCATAAAACCAGGTTCAACTAACCATTATTTCTTAAAATGTTCTGTACCAAGTCAGGAATATGTCAGTTGTTGTCAGACAGTCTGTTACTATGTATGTTGGCGTTTGCTTTTGTTGTAGGTCTGTGTTTCTGTTGTTTCGTTGTTTTCCTCTTATAGTTTATGTGTTTCCCTCAGTTTTAGTTTGTTAGCCTGATTTGTTTTTGCTTAATCGATTTATGATTATTGATTAGCGGTATACTACAGTTGCTTTTTTTACAACGTTAGCTGTGTCATTTAATTTTCATACTTTTGTCAAAGGATACGGTAAGTTCAAACTTTAAGGTAAAGTTGACCTTTGATGAATTTGGCTATTTTCATTAGATATCTTTTTGTCAGTATAGCTCACAACGTTGCTACGTAGTTCTACACCTATGGCTTCTAATTGTTCAGGTTTGGGCGTTCATAACAAAGATAATTGCATAATAGCGCAGGACGCATGAAATTCGTGAAGTGTTATTTTTCATGAACTAATTAGAAATTAAGTTCTAAGGCGATAACAAAGGCTCTTCAACGTTGTTAATTTTTGTAAATTTTACTAATGTTAATATCATCCTCGTATTTCTATTAACACTAAACTGCAAACACGTTAAGCCTTACCTTTCATACGATTTAGATTTATCATTCTTCTCTACACAAATAAATTGAAAGGAAATAGTCTGATTTATACAATAAAAAGTGACAGAAAGAGGGTTATGAACATCTGATAATAATTTACTTGAATCTAAAACTTCAAAGTCCTTAAATGATTTTAGAAGTCCAGGACTGGTAATACAATAATCAACGACACTGGCATTGCGACAGGTAAATCGCCCTATATTTTGATCCCGTCCCATCCTCCCATTTAGTATGAAAACGCCGTTACCTTGACAAAAATTCAACAGCATATTTCCATATCTTTTTTTTCCTTTATCCATATTTACACGATTAATAGGGAAAGACTGATCTCTAAGAGCATTAACGGGATTTTCGATAAAATCAGATAAATTATTATCACCATGTTCATTTTCATCTATAATTACAAAATCATCATCACAACCTGTTCTGGCATTAAAGTCGCCTAAATGGCATATATAACTTGAATAATTTGAAAAGCGTAAGTATTCTTGTTCAATCTGATTTATCGCTTCATCTGATGAATACTTAGTATATTCCGGAGGAATGTAAACATCGCCAAAAATAACGGGTTTATCTAACTTAAAAACTTTTCCGTTTACTTGAAACCACAGAACATATTTACAATCTGTTTCTTTAATATCTATCATATTCTTTAAATTTTCCGTATAACCAACTATAATACCTCCTGATCGTCTGCTAGTCACTGTTTTTCTGTTTTTCATTTTAAAGTGAAAACCAGGAAAATTTATGACATCAATATCGTCCGTTTTCGTCTCAACAAAACATACGATATCGTGCTTTTTAATTATATTTTCAAATTCTGGATATTGCATTCTGATATTTATGCCACAACAGTTTAGACATAAAATGTTAACATCATTAATGACATGATTACTATTAAAGGTACTATTTACACTCGGTGAACGACCACTAGTGTCATAGGAATATGAACTATTTAACTCTGTGTCATTTAAATCATCATTTAAAAAATCTGAACAGAAATTAGCAATGATTTCTGAAAATAAATTGTATAATTCAACTGCAGTAAAATGGTCTGTTACATTTAAATCATTACACAATTCAAAGTACGACCTTTTGTCTTTGTCACAAGATCGTCTATTTTCACACTGGTCAACATTTTTATTAGGTTTAACCTGTGTGTTTTGATCTTTAAGATGTACAAGTATATTGTCATATTCAAGTAATGAATGAGCAATACAGTTTATATTTTCAGATAAACAACTATGGGTATTTTTATTTATTACATTGTCAATAAATTCAGTAGTATATTGTACTCCATGGCTATGCTAGGCGCCATTGCCATTTATTAGTGGTGATGAATCTGAGCGTCTCATCCTTTTGTACGGCCTGTCCGTATCTTTTGGCGTGGTCAAAAGAGAATCGCGATAACTGTAAGGATTATCACTTCTAGGGTTACCACTTCTCAAATCCACATGTTCCAAGCTTTCATCAAGGATATATTGTTTGCCGTCTATAAAGAGTTTATCACGGACAAGTACAGCAGGTTTACCCGAATATTTGGCTTCCTTCTGTATAGGATATAACTTCCTACGACGTTCTTCTATTCCACTCGGAAACTGTTGGTGAATACTGTAGGGTGTCTTTTTTAGCCATCTGGCATTATCCAGCACCATTTTAAGGTCATTGTGGTATAGAAAACGCTCCACGATAGGCCTCGGATTGTTCCTAGAGCGTTTACCGAACCGATGAACGTTACCAAATTCGATATCGTGTTCTATACCTAATTGTTTATAAATGAAAATACGGAGTTTTTGCTCGACATCTTCCGTATGTTGTTCTTCCAAATTTTTGAATATTAAATTGTTCTTCATAAAACGACATTGAAGATCTAGAACAGTATTCTGCAAAGTTTGTATTCTACTTGTATCATGTTGTTGTGTGTTCGATTTGGTGTTTTCTAACTGTTTTTCAAGATTTTTTATTTTGCGCGACATTTTTTCGGAATCATTGTTGACTTTTCTAAGGGACGTACCGCGATATTGAATGAAGATTAAAACTTAGTAAAAGAACTGATTTTTATGGGTAGGATCGTAGTAATAACGTTTGGTTGCCTATGTTTGATTCAGACAAGACTCAAGTTTTCCAACGTTTATTTTTATTTAATGATGTTTTCGAAAACCTTTCGAAATTCTTGGTCATCAATGCTTTTTAACTTCGTACTTTTTTGGCCTTTTAACTGTTTTGATTTGTGCATCACTGATGGGTCTCTGAAGACGAAAAGACTAAATCATAAGTCATAAGTGTGATATCTTTGATGAGGCCTTTTTCATGACGTAAAACACATATTCTCCGTAATAGGAAAATTAATATTTTGATAAACAAACAAAAAAACTTCGACAGGCTGATCAGGAGAACAACCAAATTCAGTGTATAGATTTGCCTTATCTCTTATCGCTTTTTCTATTTGTTGATCGATATATTACTTTGACTCAATGTCTGAAACTGTCATGCAAAACATGTTTATTTTGTTATTGATGCAACATAACACCTATCTTCCTCTTGACATCAGTGGTTTAGTCATATATTTGGCCGTAACACTTGAATTATCATGATAGTTTCAACGTCCGTTTTGCGTTATTTGCATGTGAATAGCTAAAATAGCTTCAAATTATCCTAGATATATTCGTAGTTCT